AACAGGTGGCAACCTGTGGGAGGTGCTGGGCAGTCCTTCAGCAGGAGAAGGAGCAAGAGTGGGCAACAGGGAAGCCAAGAGCTCCAAGACATGGAAGAGGGTAAAGGCAAATGAGTTAGTTCATTTATTTATTTAACAAATATTTATTGAGCTGGGAGTTATGTGCCAAGCACTGTTCTGGGCCCCTAGACTTCTGTGATGAACAAGATACAGTCCCTGCCCTCATGGAGTATATATTGTTGTGGGGAGTATAGACTTTATCCGTAAGAGAATATGAATTAGTGATAAATACTATGAAGAAAATATAGATTGATGGAGTAGAGAGTGCCTAGTAATGAGGGGGAGGGATACTTTAAAAAATGGGCAGAGAAGGACACTTTGTGGAAATAAAACTTGAACTGAGACCTGAACGATGAGAAGGAGCCAGCCGTGGGAAGATCTAGGGGGAGAGCATTCCAAGCAGAAGGAAGAGGAAATGCAAAGGCCCTGGGGCTGGAATGAACTCAGCATTTCAAGGAATAGAAGTATAGACAGAAGACCAGTGTGGCTGGATCATGCTGAACAAGGGGGAGGCAAAGAGGGAGAGGGAGACCAGGCCAGCTTGTGTAGCACCCTGTGGGTCATGGGAAGGAGTTTGGGTTTAAATTAATCCTACCTGTGATGAGAAACCACGTGAGGGTTTTAAGCAGAGGAATGGTTTGATCTGAGTTCTGAGACTGTCCTAGCAATTCAGGCATGCAGTTTTCTAAAGCAGATAAGAATGACTCTTATTTTCTTGGGGGCAGAGGGCTAGGAGGGGAGACACTTGATCAGGGAACATCTAAATATGTGGTGGATCTTGATTACAGCGAGGTATTTGACAGAGGCTCTCATGGAGAACTGGAGATGGGATGATAGTCACTGGATTGATTTATTCCTCCAGTGTTGATCCAGGATTACTGTCAGGCTGGGAGGATGGTCTCTGGCAGGGTCCCCACGGCTTTGCCCTGGTCTCTCTCCTGTTCAACATTTCTATCCGTAAATTGGTGGAAGACCCAGAAGATACACTCATCAGACATGCAGCTGACTCATAGCTATCAGGGACAGCTAATGCCATGGATGATGGGATCAAGCTTCACCGGGATGATTCTCCATCAGCTGAAGTGATGGGATGAGACCAGCAATATCTGTGATTGCATTCATATTGGAGAGTTAAAGCCAGGTAGAGAGCAGGGAGACCTCACCGATAACTATACCTACAAAAGGAGGCCCAACACAGGGCTGGAGAGAAGTTAACGAAGGCAGATGGGCTTATCCATATCCTCACGTCAGCCTCTTTACTTTCTCAGTAGCAAGGTCCTTAGCCTCTTTCAGAGTCACTTTTCTCATCTGTAAAGTGGGATGATACTGTCTATTGCCCAGAGGTATGGAGAGGATTCAGTGTGAGGATATATGTGGATGCCTGGCTTCCTGCCTGGCCTGTTATAGATTCATGACAAATGCAAGCATAGCAGGAGTTTGCAGAGACTGGTCCTAGGGAAGGCTGGGTGCCCTGGAGCAGCCTATCAGGGGCACGTGTAGTGCCCATAGCCAGGGTAGGAGGCCGCTGTTCTTGGCACTGGGCCTGCCTTCTGGGAATGCTGGCTTTGACCCCTATGGTGTATCCAGAGAAAAATCACCAGAATGGGGAGGAGTCTGGAAACCGCATCCCATGAGAACCAGTGTGAAGCAAGGGTAAGTTCCAAATGGAGAAAAGAAGATAGTTGCAACTGGGAGGGATATGAGTGTTTTCTCAAACACCAGAAGGGCTGCAGTGGGGGCATGGAGAAGACCTATTCATCATTGCTCTGGAAGGCACACTAGTGCCAATGAGTGGAAGCTGTGGAGAGGCATATAGGGGTTCATTGTAACTAAGATCTAAGCATAGATGATAACATTAATTATTCCATGAACATTTATTGAGGGCTTACTATCCACCAGGCTTTCACTAAGTCTGTTGCACAACTTATATAATCCTTACCATATAACCTTGTTAGGTAGGTGTTATCCCCATTTGATGGATTAGAAGGCAGCTCCTGAGGAGCAGAGCTGAGATTTACACTCAGCTTCGGGTGATCCATGCTCCTGCTTGTTCCTCTCTGCCATGCTGGCTCCCAGGAGGGAGGAGGGTAGGAGCATCCTCTCAGGTGGTAAAAAGGGACTGTCCCATGCTTTTTTTTTTTTTAAATTGTATAGGGACCTCAGGGCCCTGTGGGTCTTAGAAGCTGCTTTGATTGCTACTTGGGGCTTATACATTAAAGGGTTCTGTGGTGAGTCTCTTGTGTGCATGCATGTAACATTTTTATTATTTTAAAAAAAGAAACCAAACAAAGACAAAAGTAGAGTGAACTGTATATAATGAACCCCCTCCCGTCTCCCCTCTCCCCATGAGGGATTAATTTGAAAGCAAATCCCAGGCATAATGTTATCTGTACACACTTCAGTATGTATCTAGAAGAGATAAGGGATCCTTTTTTTTTTTTTAGTATAACCAGAATACCATTATCACAACTTTAAAAAATTAACATAATTGTAGGGAAATCTTTCTAATTCAGAAAAACTATTGGTATACAGCATGCTTTACAAGGTTTTGTTTTTTTTGTTTTTTTTTTTTTTAGGGAAGGAGGGTAAAATTGGTCCTTCAGATGTCTGGTTTCTGTGACTTGGGGCTCACCTGTTTGCTCTGAGGATGATGGAGAGGTGGGAGAAGAAGAGGAGGGGGGACCTAAAACGTAGGACCATGGATTGGCAAACTCCTGATTCCAACTGTTTCCAGGGGACACAGGAGTGAGAGTTGGGCCTATTTATAGATCTGAGTCTAGACATGGGAGGCAGGTAAGAGGAAGGGAATAGGAGAGACGTCAGGGAAGAGAGAGAGGATGGAAGGAAAGAGAAAATAGTAGGAACTATCCTTGTCTCATGCACAGCCTTGATGACCCTCAGGGAGCATGCCAGGCCCGGTTCACACCAGCTATGCTCACAACTACGCTCTGCTGAGGGTGCCCTACGTGCAGGGTGCTGTGCTGAGCTCTACACATGGGCACCTCACCACTTCCCCACGACCACCCCATGAGATGGGTGCTGTCAGCGCCACGCCCATCTTACAGGGAAGACCCTGAGGCTCCGAGGGTCTGCCACGAAGTAAGTGGTGGTGCCAGGGCTTGGCTGGAGTCTGCTTTTCCTGACACTACTTTCTGCCTTCAAGTGTGTCATCCTGGTGAGGTTATATGCAGGGCTGATGTTCAGGAGTGCGCCTGTATCAAGTATTAGAATATTGACAAGCTTTCATATCTTTGGTACCTAGCTCTTCCCCAAGCTTCCCAAGTGGCCTGGCTACCCAGCCCCTCCTGCAGGGTCTCCTGGGCTTCATCAGGATCCAGTAACTAAAAGGTTAATGCCTGGCCCAGCAGGAGGCCTCTAAGACTAAGCCTGTGTTCATTCTCTTGGATTGTCAAATGACTGTTCCCTTAGTTCTATGTATGGTGACACATGAGTTATCATATACCCATGCAATTTTGCCTATGTATGCATCAAACATGTGCTTGTCTGTATCTGTCTGTGTGCATATGTGTGTGTGTGCTCTTGTGCAAAGAGCATTACCAGGAAGGCATGATGAATTCTGCTTGGAGTATTTCATATCACTATTTTTGAGACTCATTGTTCCTTCTGAGTGGGTTGTCAGAGCAGGATGTCTACTGGGCCTCCCTTCTCTCTGGCCTGGGCATGGCCTTGGCTCCCTCCCCAGCTGCAAGACTAAGCCACAGCAACTAAGCTCCACTCTTGGGGCTTTCTTAATTTCCTTCTATGTCTTCTTACTATCGTCACTTTTTGTACTCACAGGGGCAGAGTACTTTGCACTTTCCAGAATGTTCTAGGTAGACCACCTCATCTGCCCCTCACAGGAGCCCATTGAGTAGGCATAGCAGATGGTTCTAAGCTGGGTGACTAAGCTGGAACACCATGGAGGAAGGTGCATCCTTGCAATGGCTGCTGGTGGGCAGTCTAGGGGCTCGAGCCAGGCCAGCAGGATTGCTACCCCCCAACAATGAAGACCCCAGAGTCCATGGGCCCATCAGGTCCCATCAGGCCTGTGCTGGCCATCACAGGTCCAGTAGAGGGTGCAGGGTCTTAGATCCAGGGAAGTCCTTGTGAGTCAGTTTCAGGGACCAACCAACTGCTGGTGCCACCCAGGAAGAGGGCCCAGTCCAGAGGCCATGATCTGGTCAGAGGGCTATGCCAGCCAGGGTGGACACTAATCCATGGTGCTACTGTGTGGAATCCACGATCCAGGGGCCCAGCCAGGCGGACTCTTGTATCACCCTTACTATGTGCCAGACACTGTCCTTACTGGTTTGCACCTTCACAGCTCCCCATCAGGAGGGCCCTATAATATACCTGCTAATCAGGTGAAGAGACCAGGGTGTCGAGATGCTGAGGGACCTAGCAAGGGTCACACAGTTGAGAAGGAACAGTGGGGTGTGGGCTCGGGCTGCCCGCTCTGCAGTCCCTGCTCTCATTCAGCCCGTCTGCAGAGAGGAGCTGGGCTGCACCAAGCACTGGCCCCAACCCCTTTGCTGTAGTGCAAAATTTCCCAGGGAACTGACCACCTCTCTAGTCTGTCATTGCCGCAGGTCCTGGGCATGACTGACCAGGCAGGATGGACTGAAACTAAGGCCCAGGGAAGCTGTGACTTGCCTCAGTTCACCCAGCAAGAAGTAGTATTGGAAAACGACCTGGTATCCCAATTCTTAGACCTTGCTCTCTGTACTGCAGCCCACTGGTGGCCTGCACAAATCCTCTTGGGATCCCACTACTTGTTCATACATCTTCTCTCTTGAGAAAGCAATAGGTTTCTCTTACTTGGAAACATGTTTTCTTTCAGTCATGCTTTCATCCCCTTTCCCTGGGACCTGCTTCCTGCTGCAGAGCAACCCCTTGGCAAACTGGCACTAAAACCTTCTGTCTTTCTGACCTGTTTGCAGAGCACTGGAGCTCAACACTGGCAAAGATGAGATCTCCCTGTTGGTGGAGCAGGAGTTCTTGAGCCTCACCAAAGAGAACCTCCTCCTGGTCAAAGAGAGCTCGGGTGAGCTGGAGGCACCCGGTGGCTCTCCTGAGGGAATGAGAGAGCCGACTCCCTGCATTCTAGGACCTCCTCTGGTGGTGGACAGCACTGAGCTCCCAGGAGCCTCTGACGTCACCAGTGACAAGCTTCTGGAGCAGAAGGTGGCCATGTCCGTTATCGGCAGCCGGCAGAACTGTGACTCTGCCATGTCTACGGTCACGGGCATCCTGCGCTCTGCCAAGGTCAGAAGTGCCAAGGGGACAGAAGACGGGGGCCACAACCTAGACACCGCCAACTCAGAGATCAGCAAGCTCCTGGCCCAGTTCCCACTGAAGTCTACTGAAACTAAGGCCCCCGACAACAAAATGGTACTGGAGGAGACGAAGGTCATCAAGGACTTCCTGCAGAACAGCATGTTCAGTGGCCCTGGACCCAGGGAGCCGGCGGGGCTGAGTCCATTTCTGTTGCTGCCACCCCCCACTCCTCTTGCACCCCTGGACAAGCTCCCTGAGCTCCCTACTCAGAAGAAGCAGCTCCCGGTGTTTGCCAAGATCTGTTCCAAGCCCGAGGCAGACCCCACCATGGAGGGGCATCACTTGATAGGTGAGTATGGCTGGGAGCAGGAAGAGAGAGTTGGGCCTGCCAGGAAGCCTGTCAGGACTGCAGCAAGCGCTTGAAACACCTTTGTGTAAATTAAGAATAGGCGGTCCCTCTGGTGGATACAGCCCCCAGGTGTAGAGGTTGACAGGCTGTGTTCAGCCCTCATGTGCTTCCTCTGCTGGATGCCCACACAGGGCACAGCTTTCGTAAGCATACATGGAGGCCTTGGTCCAACATGCTTTGAGAAGAAAGATAGGCACCATTTGGGAACTGGCTCATTTTTTGAATTCACCAGCTATCCAGAGTGCACTGAAAGAAGGGTTTAGCCCAGCTGAATCCAGAGTGAAACTGCAGCAGGGGCATTGGAGGCTAGATAGGAGAGAAATTTTATTGGCAACTGGGATTATTTGGCTTCCGATGGGGGCCCCTGGAGGCACCTATTCTGGCAGTGAGGCCTGGTCCTCTGTGCCTGGGACGGGGGAAGGATGGCTAAACTCCCCAGGAGCAATTCAGACTGTTGGCTCTGGGATGTGTTCCCTGGTAAACTTGAAAAGTACATTTCCATCCCATAATTGAAGAGTCTTCATCCTTTCCATTAAATCCAGTCATCTCCCACATTTCCCCCACCCCACTCCCAGGATTCTGCATCTTGGACTGTTCTGATCCAACCGCTCAGACTGGATAGTTCAAAGGCAGACTGATGGCAAGGGCATTTGCCTACAGTCAGCAGTCAGTAGGAGGGCAGATCATACCCATGTCAACCAAAACAAAGATTATCCCTGGCTGTGAGCATGGATGGATAACTGAGAGATGCCTGTATTGGGGAGAGTCCAAACCCATTTCCCCAAGAAAATAAGAATAAGCTTACCTTAGAGAACATTCTGGAGCATTGCAGGAAGGCCAAGGAATTAGAGCTATGGACAGGAAGCTAGACTCTGGGTTCTGGGCAGGCCAGGGGCCTCTTTGGGGATGATGAGCTGTGGGCATGAGAGAATTGAGCCCTGCGGGAGGAGGGGACTTTGCTCCCCATGTTTTTCTCCAAGAGGGACATGTGGGTGCCCCTCTGACTGATTGGGCTGCTGCGTTTGAGGCATTCCTGCCCTCCCCACCCTCCCTACCCTCCCCACCATATGTGTGTGTTGGTGTGTGTACAAGTGTGGGCAAAGGTGTGCCAAAGGCAACTTTGCTGTTGTTAGAGGAAGCTACAAGTATGGGTGTGTCTGACTGTGTCTGTGTGTACATGTTTGTGCTTGTGTCCTGTGTGTTGTTGTGTACATGGAAGTGCATCAAAGGAAACTGTAGGACTGTAAGGCTGTGTGTATGTGGACGTTGAAAGAGAGTGCTTTGTAAATGGGTGAGCGGGCAAGCACGTTTGAGGCTACTGTAGATGTGTGTGAGAGAATCTCTTCAGGTGCATGGGTCTCTGGGGAGATGGCTATTATTAATGAGTACTGTTATTTCAGCACACTGGCTGGGGGCTAAACTCAGCAACCAGAGAAACTCTTAGAAGAGACTCTAGGGACATGTTTTGCTAAAAGTGTCATTTTCTCCTAAACTGGCTCAGACTAGATCAGCTCTTCCCTTTGCTGGGGTGACGCTAGGACGGCAGGCCCAGTCCCACTCAGACTTGGCCCCCAAGGCTGCTGGGCCCAGGTGGGGCCAAGATGTGGTAGGATCAGGTCCACTCTCCACAGATTACACTGGGGCACAGGTTCCCTGATCAGGTCACCTACAGAGAGGTCCTAGGTGCCTGCTGTTTATCTAGCGTGGTGCTCAGCCATCCAGCAGGGTGGTCTCTGTAGAGACCTTCAGGAACCTCCAGGCTGGGCAAGGAGTGAAGGGAGCTGGGGGGAGGGCAAGTCCTTCTTCCCTACTGCTACCAGAGCAATGCCTTAAAAAAAAATTGTATATATATTTCCCCCCCACCCACACACACTTAATTTTGTTTTAAGAAAGAGTTCCATTGCTAAAAAAGAAATAGATGTGTGGAAAACACTGCTGTGAAGGATCCCATGATAGCCCAGACAGGGTCTTTGTGCTGGGGAAATGCTCGGTGTATTTGGAGAGAGACCTGGACCTGGCATTGCCCATGTCTCTTCTGCCCAGTGACTCACTGTGTCTCTTTCATGCTTCCATGCCTCTGCCCATAGTTACCCTGCCTGATGTGCCTTCCCCCTCATATCCCTGCATATAAGGCCTTCCTCCTGGAATCCATCTGGCCTTTTCAGACAGAAGCGTCTCAGTCACCCTCTTCTCCCACTGTGTCCCTCTGTCACCTTACAATACCCATCTGCTTTGTCCCAGAGCTACTTCTGGGTATGTCTCTCTCTTCTTCTTATTGTGAGCTCCTGCAGGGAAGAATCTGGCTCTGATTCATTGCAGTGTCCCCAGCCCTCAGGTCAGGGCCTGGCATTGAAGAGTGAGCACCAGTGAGCACTAGTTGAATTGCTTGGGAGCAATGAGACAAGAGTGTAGAGCCCATGACGAGAGACTTGACTGTGTGGCTCAGACCATGTGTTCTGTAGGAACGTGTGTCTCTCCACTCACCATGGGCTCCCTGAAGGCAAGAACTGTAATCAGGTCTTCTTTGTATTTCCAGTATCCAGCACAGGGCTTGTTACTTATTGAATGGATGGATGGTTCAAAGGAGGAAAAGTTGGGGGTTGGGGAGAGAGGAAAGGGCCTAAAGAAGGAAGGAAGGGAGAGATGAGGGGAGGGAGAAAGGAAGACAGTTAAGATGGAAGAAAGGAGCAATGGAAGGAAGGATGAATGGGTGGATGGAAGGAAAGAAAGAAGGAAGGAAAGATAGATGGATGGATGGTTGGTTGGACCGCTGAATGGATGAATGAATGAAAGGGGAAGGCCAGAATGGGCAATGGTCAGGGAAGGCTTCAGGGAGAAGACCGAAGTTGGATTTGGCTGGGAGGAGGGAGGGGAGAGAGCCCCCAGAGTGGTCTCAGCCTCAGGTGTGTGCTATGGAGGACCGATCACTTAGTTCACAAGAAGGTACTCCCCACATCAAGCACCTGGCCTTCGCAGGGCACTGACTAGGTTTCCTCTTGCTGTAGAACGGAACCCTGGTGCCAAGGAACTGACCAGGGGTCAAGAGAGCCTCTTCCTCAGTCAGTGGCCCCAGAGCCGGAAGGACAGCTGTGGTGAGGAAGGTTGCATGGACCCAGTGGGCACCATGTCCATGGCCCTGCCAACCAAGAAGCCTGCATGGCCAGCCGAGAAGAACCTGCTCTGTGAGTTCCTCGGGGCCACCAAGAACCCCAGTGGGCAACTGAGGCTTCGCAGCAAAGTGGAGATGGACGGGCTGGAGCTGAAACGTAAGCTGACCCTACCCAGGGAGGGTCTGCGGAAGAAGGGAGTCTGAAAATCCTCATAGGCCCCAGTGATGGCTCTGCCAGCAAATGGCTGTCTCATCCAAGGGCAAGTCACTGTCTTTCTCTGGCTGTCAGCTTTTACACCTACAAAATGGGGAAATGCCTTTTTCCCTACGTTTCTTATTAGGAGTACAATTGCTAGAGAAATGAATGGTTGGCTTTCAGGGGTCACATAGGCATTATTAGTGGTCAATTTTGAATACAGTCCTGACCTAGCATATATCATATTCTGTGGAGTTGCCAAAGAAAAGTCCATAGCTTTATATTATTTTTAGATTGAGATTATTCATGCCCTGGTTTCTCTACCTTGTCCTTCTACAATGGATTATTTTAGTTAAACCTCCTTTCTAAAAAAAGATGTCAATACGGGGGAAACTGAGGACCCTGTTCTGGTTCTGGTCACAGGACATCTTGTAGAGGGAGAGATTCCAGGATTCATATCCTGAAACAACTCAACAAACCCTCATTCATTCAGACAAATTTGAGGTCATGCCAAGCTGAGCTATATGTTTTAAAAGATTATAAAAAAAACTATTCCCATATAGATAAAATCACCTGTGCAAGGTTTGCAGTGTTGCCAAATATATGTCCTTAGGGAGCCTGCTTTAATAATTTGATAAGAGTGAATTCCAGTGGCATAGCAATTGTTTGTGTAAAACCAGATTTTTCTCAAGCACTTGAAAGAATTTGGTTTTGTAAGTAGGGGAAATACAGTCCTAGCAATCTGTTTTATTGTATTCCCTTGCTAAACTGCCTCCTTCATTAGAGAGTGATGGAAAAAGAAGCTCTAAGCCAGATCATGTCGGGGTTTTCACCCATTCCAAATTGGCAAGGTAGAAGCTAATGATGTTTCCCCATAGTTGGAAATTTACCAGAACTTTGAAGAACCCTCTTAGAGCTCAAAGAACCTGACCTCTATGAGAACATTAATTCTGGGGCAGGTGTGTTAACTGACGGTATCCTGGCCCTTCCCTGCCTCAGTCACTGAAACACTTTACCTCTCCTGTGACTTAACAGTTAACCCACCTGGAACAGTGGCGGACAAGAACAACCTCAAGTACACAGGGAACGTTTTCACCCCACGCTTTGCCACAGCCTTGACCTCAGCAAACCTGAACCAGCCACTGTGGCTCAACCTGAACTACCCACCCCCGCCGGTGTTCACAAACCACTCCACTTTCCCACAGTATCAGGTGAGCACGTGGGTACTGGGTGTGGCTCCTCGTGTGGCCACCCATGCAGTGTGTGACCTCGGAGGAGGGGCGGCTTGTAGGGAGCCCATTTCATAAAGAGCCTTTAGATGTCCCTTGAATTCCATGTCTACATTCCAGAGGTTTTGCTGGAGCTACAGTAAGTAACTATCAACTTATCAGTTCCTTTTTTTTCATTGTTGCCACGTCAGCCAACCATTTGGCATACACATACACGCACGCATCCATATACTCGTATACATATGCATGCACATATTCGTATATATTTCTGAATTCTAGTTCAGTCTGTGCTGTGTATTCCATATTTGCTTTGCTAAATTTGGCTGGTTATGTGCTTTTTGCAAAATTTCTCTTGGGATTTTTGGATAGGATGATGGAAAGGCAGGTTACCCACCTGCCTTCTGTGACTTCCTTTACAGCTGGATGACCATACGTACTAGATTGCTTGGGACAGTCCCAGTTTAGGTCTTTTGTCCCAGCATAATTAAAAAAAAAATATCCCCTCTCACTCTCTCACTCCCAAGTGGGTTAGTTTGGCCAATAAATTATCTAGCCACCTTATTTAAACTACTTTTTTAAAAAATGGTGACTTTTCTATATAGATGTATACACATATATATAATTTGCCATTTCAACATTTTACCTGTACAATTTAGTGACATTAATTATTCATCATGTTGTGCAACGATCATCACTATCCATTTCCAGATTTTTTCCATCACCCTTAACAGAAGCTCAGTGCCCCCTAAGCAATGATTTCCTTTTTCTTTCTCCCTCCCACCCCTAGTAACCTCTAATAAACTTTGATCTTTATACATTTGTGGATTCTAGATATTTCACGTAAGTGGATTCATAATATTTGTCCATTATGACTGACTTATTTTACTCGGCATGTTTTCAAAGTTCATCCATGTTATTGCATGTATCAAGACTTCGTTTTTCTTTGTGGCAGAGTGATATTCCATTGCATAGATGTACCATACTTTGTTTAGCCATTCATCTGTTGATGGACATTTAGTTTGTTTCCAGCTTTTGTGAATAGTGCTGCCCAAACCCCATTGCTGTCAAGTCAATTCCAACCCATATTGACCCTAGAAGACAGAGTGGAGCTGCCCCATAGGGTTTCCAAGGAGCAGCTGGTGGATTTGAACTGCCAGTCTTTTGGTTAGCAGCTGTATCACTTAACCACTGTGCCACCAGGGCTCTGAATAGTGCTGCAGTGAACAACAAAAATACAAGCAACCCAATTAGAAAGTGGGCAAAGGACTTAAATAGACATTTCACCAAAGAATAAATACAAATAGCCAACAAACACATGAAAAGATGCTCAACATCATTAGTCATTAGGAAGATACAAATCAAAGCATAATGAGATACCACTTCACCCCAACTAAGATAGCTATGATTAAAAAAAGCAAACAAACAGGAAACAACAGGTGTTAATGAAGATGTGGAGAAATAGGCACCCTCATTCATTGTTGGAGGAGCTGTAAAATGATACAGCTGCTGTGGAAACCAGTTTGGTGGTTCCTCAAAAAGGTGAACTACCATAAAAAAACAAAAACCAAACCCATTGCCATCCAGTCAATTACAACTCATACACAGGAATTCCACTCCTAAGCGTATATCCAAAAGAATTGAAAGTAAGGATTCAAATAGCTATCTGTACACCAGTGATCTCTGTAGCACTGTTAAACTGCATTTGCTCAGTCTTAGTTTGCATCGTTTAAGGTGGCTTGTCATACATTCTTGGTGTTGGGCTCATAGCTAAAAGGAGAGTAGTGGCCAGACACAAAGGGATGATGAAATATTTGTAGTGAGGTTGGAAATTTTATTCACAGAACTTACTTATGCAGGGAAAATGTAGTTTCTTTATTTTGTGTTTAACTTAATATCCCTTAAGAGGTACTGCCCACTGGGTAGAAGGAGGGAAAAATTAAATAAATGTCCACTCTGGTTTAAACCTTAGTCCAATCCAATAACTTAAATAGTCCCTTCTGACAATGCTCGGTTTCTCCAGGAAAGAAGCTCAGTATCTAAGATTTCTCAGTCTTCTCTTCCCTTACCTGGATCCTCTCCAGAACAGCACATGGGTATATGGGGAAGGGATTGGAACTCAAACAAAATTGTTGGTCCAGTTCCTTGGGAATTCCCTGCCTCAGGCTTGTCCGGCAAAGCCAGGAGAAGGGAAGTAGAGATATATGCCTGACACTCAGCTTGTCCTGCCTCCATGCCCCTTCCCCTTCTACCACCCCTTGGGTCCTGTGATGGTTACTTTTATGTGTCAACTTGGCTAGTCTGTGGTTCCCAGTTGTTTGGCCAAACACTAACCTAGTTGCATCATGGAGTAGTTATGTGTGATTAAATTAGTTGGCCTTGGGCAGAGCAGATTACTTTCCATAATGCAATCTAATGTACTGTAATCAATCAGTCGAGGCCATACCAGTGTAGGGTGAATTTTAAACCTAATCACTTCTGAATTACAAAAAGACCAGAATATATACAAACACACATGGGGGAAGACGGATGCCGTGGGAGGATAGTCTACAAGCCAAGAAATGCCAAGGAACCAAGGAACGCCCGGGGCTACTGACAAGGAAGGAATTGACTTGACAGAGACCCTATTTGAACTTTTAGCCTCCAGAACTGTGAGAAAATAAATGTCCTTTAATTAAAGCCACTCATTTTTTTTTTTTTTTTTT